TGAAACAAACGAAACTATTCCACTCCATTTCCGAAATGTTTTTTACTTTTTTCGGGAGAAAAACTCTTGGAGTAAAACTTTTCTCGTTGAATGTGTGCGAAGCGGCGCTGCAAGCTGCAATAAAGGGCGGGAATTTTGGCGCGAAACTCACACACCTCTGTGGCTTCTGATTGGACGTATCATTTTTCTCACACGTGAAAAAACGTCCTTCGCGTATCATTTTTTTTCACGTGTGAAAACCATCGTTCGCTCCTCTGATTGGCTAGAACTAATTTGCGGACGAAAATTTACGACATAACTTTTTGGTGAGTATTTCTCAGGGTGCGTTTCTTTAAAAAAATCCAAGATTGGATTCTTAATCCGAGATCATGCGGATTCGTTATTTTTAAAGACACGAAAAATCCGAAAATGGATTTTTTTTTTTCAATTAGCCGTAACGACCCCAGCATGCAGTTCGCGTGTTTTGGGGGGAGTTTTCAAAATGGCGGAAAGTTTTGGTTTGATGTTTGAACTGTTCGAAGAAGTCCTTGCCGATGACCTTGAACAACAACAGGTTCTTTTAGGAGCCGATGACGAAGCAGTTTTATTCCTTTTGGCGGCCGGACAGCTCGTCCGAAAAGAACACGTTCGCACAAAGAATTTTTACGAAATAACCGTACCTAGTTACATACCGGAGGACTTCCGAAGTCACTTCCGCATGTCACGGCATACAGTTACAGTTCTCGAACATTTGCTTTCGGTCCACGGCGACTTACCTCAATACACCGGCGATAGAGGAAGACCACCGGTCGAGTTAAGAAAGCAAATCCTTATTACGCTGTGGATTCTTGGGAATCCAGAATGTTTACGCTCTGTTGCCGATCGATTTGATGTTTGCAGGGCAACTGCGTACAGAGTCTACAGACGAGTTTGCAAAGCAATAGTGAGGAACTTAATGGATGAGTTTATCAAGTTTCCAACTGGTCTAAAAGCCCAAGCGGTGATGGAGGCCTTTGAAGAGAAAAAGGGTTTTCCGGGTGTTTTGGGGGCTATTGATGGCACCCACATACCAATCAAAGCACCACATAACAATCATGAACAATACATAAATCGCAAAGGTTTCTTTTCCGTCCAACTACAAGTCATTTGTGACCCGGATTTATTCATAACCGATGTTTTCTGTGGTTACCCTGGTTCAGTACACGATGCTCGCGTGTTTCGTAATTCTCCGATCTGCCGAGAAGTTGAAGTGAACCCAGACAATTATTTTCCTGGCAACTCCCACATTTTGGGAGACGCAGCATATCCCTTGAAGAGGTGGCTGTTGACCCCATTTCGAGACAACGGACGTTTGACTGCTCAACAAAGACGTTACAATACTGCCCACAGTTCCACCAGAATGGTGGCTGAGAGGTCCATAGGGCTTTTTAAGAACAGGTTTAGGAAGCTAAAAACAATGATGGATGTTGACAAAATTGAGGACATACCGGAAATTATTGTATCCTCTTGCATCTTACACAACATTTGCATTATTGAAGATGACATCGATGATTTTTTAGATGACTCTAATGATGATGATGACAATGATGATGACATCTTTCCACCAGGTGTAGGAGCAGTTGATAAGAGAAACATGATAATGAGACTGATCCCATAAACCTAGCATTTATAAGTGGTTTATGTATTGATACCTTTTGTACTGTGGTGTTTTCATGAACACTTCTTTCATAGGTGGTGTATGTCATTCATAAAGTTTATACTGTATAATAGTCTTTTTGCTATAAATATCAATATTTTATTTGTTTTTAAAAGTATATAAGAAAATAGTAGAGCCATGTACATGGATCACTTTATACTACCTGAAACATTTATGGTGTTGCTTGAAATGTAAACTTTCAACACAAATGTAACAGCCTAATACTCTGACAGTCCAGGTTGCTTGTGTCACGCACAGAAAGGAGGAAGTGCGTGACACAAGTGATCTGAAGCATCTGAGAATCAGGCTAAAAAAAAGTAAAGGATATAAATAATATCAAAACCAGTTTAGTTAGGCCCTCTCACCTAATGTTGCTGTTGTAGTTCCTTGTATGTATGTGATAAAAAAAACATACAACTTGCAATAATACTGTTAACATGTATGATATAATAAACTTTTAGATAACTCAATACTGACAACAAACTCAGGTTTACTGTATCTATGTTCATGTTTGTGGTCAAATAATCCCATGTTCTGCAACACAATAAAAAATTATGGAATCAAGGTTACTCTTTGTTCAATGATTTTTCAAAAACATTCAAAAATCGGCCCATGAGTGCCATGCGTTCATTGTGCATATTTTCCAACTTTTTAATCTTTTCCTTTTCTTCCTCTTTCCTGTCTTGTGTAAATTCCTTAAAGAGCCCAACGAGGTCTTCTCTTTTCTTCCGCTCTGGTAACTTCTTTTTTTTTTTGCTTTTTGTAACCACAGGCTCCTCTGTGTCACTACCTGTGGAACTCAATGTGGAACTGGAATTTTTAACACTCTTGACTGCATCTTTGCTCCGTTTACCATCAATGTTGCTGCACAATGTTTTTGGAGCGATGGCATCATCTTTCGAAAATATTTCGTGAAGTTCGTCATAGAAGTTGCATTTCTTTCGGTCATTTCCGCTGACTTTGTTGTGATCAACACAAGCAACATAACTTCTCTTCAGATTTTTCAATTTCGTCTCACACGCCTTGGCATTAAAGAACACTCCGTTCTTCTTTAATTCTTCGCTGATTTCTTCCCACAGGGACTTGTTCTTTTGTTTATATCTTTAAATCGTTCTCTGCGTTCGACATAGCAGGAAATTAACAACAGCACATCAGCTCTAGACCAGCGTACAAGAGCTCTCGATTCGCCTTCGGTGCCTTCACTCGACTGACTGAACGTGGCTGCAGCTGTTTCCAAAGAAGAAAAACTTGGACCAGGCTGAGGTGATACTGATCTGACTGTTTCATGGCTGAACTGTGATGCCTGCGGTGGTGGAAACATGAACTGAGGAAGATAAGGTTGAATGCCCGGTTGAACGTGGCTTTCGTTCCACTGATATTCTGGATATTCACCTGCAGATAAACTGTGCGTCCAATATTGTCCTGTAGATAGAAATAAAAGATGCCAAGACGCATCAAACATCCGGAAAATTTATAAAAATACGTACAGGACGGAAAATTTCGGTGAAACTACACAAAAAACTCACCTTGTTTATTCGCCATGGCCGGCAGCAGCTAATATTTACAACAAAATGGCGGGAATGTGGCGGATTTTAAGAAGACGACCGCTTGCCAAACGTACTGCTTTTTGTATCCGTGCAATAAAGAAACGCACGGATCATGAATCCTAAAAATCCGGATTTAGATTTGATCTAATGAATCCACTCGGAGTGTGGATTCTATAGATTCAAAATCCATTTTCGGATTTTATTAAAGAAACGCAAAATCCGTTTTTGGATTCAAGAATCCGGATTTGGATTTTTTTACAGAAACGCACCCTCAGTATGTATATAATAAAAAATTTTATGCAACACTCGCAATTTCTGTTGCATAAATGACACTAAAGTGGATTCTTACGAAAATCGTAAGTGCAATCACTTAAGTGAAATCCCTAAGTGAACCACTTGAGTGATTAAATGTAAACTCACTCAAGTTACGTATACCCATAACTGTTACGGCGTTTTATGCAACCGGGCCCTGCCCCCCTTCCCCGACGCAGTCCTAGCTGTCTCGGTGACATAACGAAATAGCTGCTACTTTATCCTATAAGACTCGCCTCCATCTTAGATGGTCAATATATGAAAAAGGGTTGCAGAGTTCAGCAAAATGTCAATTCAGTTGGTCATGGAAATTTTACATTTGTCCGGCAAGGTCAAGGGATTTCAGAAACCTGTGGCTGTGGCAATTATGACCCCAGTTTGATATATGTAATCTATATATTTCTCATATTAAAATTCTTTAGTCACTTCCGGCTCAGATTACCGGTCCCGTGCACTTTTGCGCTTTTTTCTTGACAACCTTATATAAATAGGTTAATGAACAACGTAAACGATCTATTATTTACAGTCAAACCAGATCAAGCGTTCCCGTCGCTAACGAACTAATGAATTCATTCACGGAAAAATGATTTCGTTTGTTGATTCAATAATCCATTCATAAAATGAACAATCCAACAGTCATATTTAGCCTCGATTCCAAAATCGAATGTTGATTCGATTACTGTTTTTTGAAAAATTACACTTTCCACAAGTTGACCTCAGAATTTTGTTTTTTCCTCTTTTTTTTCTGAGAATCGAGTGCTGGCGAGTTCTGAAGTTCAAACCCAAACAAACTGTTACACGTACGCCAGTTTGCTGACAGTAATGAGTGCAACAGACCTAGGCCTGACCTCTTAGAAAACACGACGGTCAAACTGAGGTCAGTGTATGTGCGGTGATTGGTGGATTTCGATCCTCGGCCTTTGTCAGTTTCTGTGCGTTTGCGGTCTGTCTATTCTAGCTGTTATTTTGATTAAAGGCAATGAAAAACGCAATCGTAAACGGCAGGAAAAGGGAAGCAAATACGATTGAACACAACAGACAAGAATAAAGAACAGGTAGATTTTATTCATAAACCAAATCAACATTTGATTATTGAATCGAGGTACAATTTGACTTTTGGATTATTCATTTTATGAATGGATTATTAAATCAACAAACGAAATCATTTTTCCATTAATGAATTCATTAGTTTGTTAGCGACGGGAACGCTTGACCTGGTTTGACTGTAAGAGAGGAACTTATCGAAATCTAACCTAGCAAAAACACCAGACCAAACCACAAAAAAGGAACCGTTTATTGTGCTATTTGTAAATGCAAAACCTGTCTAAGATCCTTAAACGTCACCCAACACACCATTTTTAACTTTTTTGAGGAAGGTAGTCTTCCTAGTTTTACAATTGTGTGATCATGGGTAAAAAAATAAACGTGCATTTTAACATTTGGCGTGTTTTTAGAGCCAACGTTTTTCAGTGTTTCCTCATGCCTCCACACAGACGTACGTTCTGAAATATGAAAAAGACCATGTTAATTACAACAAACAATGCGCCCACTCGTCAACCTTAGTGAAACAGCAAGTGGTAACGTTTGCGCATGCGTCAAGCTTGCTGGGAAGCACTTGTTGACGGGAAATCGTAATGGCCGAAAGCCGTTCTGAAGCACTTTCAAGGGAGATTTTTTTGCATACCCAATCGACAACAGACATGTCTTATAGATTGGATACTTTGGCTAAGCCATGTTGAAGCGTCATGTATGGGAGAAGGACCATTTAGGTGGTTAATTTTCATTCATTTGGCTCCTCTGATGAAGCAGATAAAGCGTTCAAGAGGTCGTTTGTTGTGATATGTTGATTTGTTGACATTCAATGGGTCACGGATTTCTGGGTTATCGTCCACGATCTGCAGAGCAGCCTAACATTTAGGTAAGATATACCCCTTGATTTACTTTGTGAAATGTGGAGCAGCATCATCGAATGTTATGTGTTAAAATTATAGCAGCCTGAATTCAACGTAATTTATGTGACCCTGGTATTTTTGTAGTATTTGACCCTGACCGTACAGCGAGATCCAGTTATATATCCCACACAAGCGACTAAACAGGTTAAACTTCTCTTTCGGTCACTCCGTATTTTCACTTTTAATGGTTAATTCAAAGGGGGGAAGTTTGAGTATTTTGATACTATTTAGCGGCATGAAATCAACAAGCAAATTTCCTGCTCTTACAAGTAAGGCCACAGTCGGATGTTTCCTTCCATTTTCGAAAATTTTCTTTTCTGGTTTACATTGGTGCTCTATGGCGATTACTTATTCTCAGAGATTAAGAGATCGAGGCGGTGGATTGTGAAATATTATTTGCTAGAACTTCGTTAAAGATGGACAAATTTTTCTTGTCCGTTTCAACCTTGTTTTTAGATTTTTCGTTAACATGTAAAAGTATATCCCAACAAAACTTATTTGTAAGAGCATTGTTTCGGAACACTCTTTCATTCTTGAGTGTTTGATTTTGCATCCAAGGGGGGGAACACTGATGAATTTGCGTTTTAATAATCATGCACTGTAAGCTCTCGGATTCACTGACAACAACCCTCACCATTTGGAAGATGATTTTATTCTGATAATTATTCAATGATGATTTGTTTATACATACAAAATTGGCGCCTAAAAGAATTGTAATGTTATGCTTAAAATGTTTACATAATGTCTTGAAACATAACTGAAATCAATATAAAATATGAAAATACACATATGTGCATTCTTTTCCCTGCCCTACTATAAAAGTGATTTAATAAGTGTGATTTAATGCATTTTCATATGACCATTACAATATTACTCCCACTTTGACACTAGCACAAGTTCAAGCGCAAAACAATTCTTGCCCTTGTTCACCTTTGCACTTGCTGGACTGCCATTCCTGTTTGAAGTACAGACAACACTGGACATGAAATCCCTGTATTTGATTCCTTACATTGGCATCCACATAAGAATTAGCTTCATCACATACAATGTATTTGTATGCTTACAAAAATCATGAATGTTATTATTCCTTTTCTATCCAAAAGATTTCTTTCCTTCTTGAATTTAAATTCGTATCCATGACACTTTAGAAATCCTGAAATATCTAAAGGGGTATCGCTAGTTGTGGGCAACAACTAAATGCCATAGGGGTAACTTTTCACTCTCCGATAAAAATAGATCTTTTGATACTCTGGGTCTCATATATTCAGTGTTTGTGCACATGAATTTAGGGCCACTTGGCTTGCCAATGTCAGTTTGGCTGTGTATACACTGTAGTAGTGTATATAGTCATATATCATAGGCTGCACAAGTTGCAATTTATGTAAAATTGCCCCTGAAACAAGCTCATTGATGCTCCTGGTGTCGCAAGACGACAAGGTATGAAAAATTTCATTTGCCTTTTACCTGTTGCAGGAGCTCCCTATGAGATGCTCAGCACTAAACCTTGTTGATTCAGGTGATAGTCGTTGAGGACGACTGCATCGTCACATTTAAACCAGTCGCACTTTTCACTCAAGCCATAGCAGAGGTGGTACAAAATGGCGGCTATCCGTTTTTTATTTTACCCTATGCTGTCTGCAGAATGTGAAGGGTCTGTCACTCCATCCTGAACTGCATCAAATAGCCTTGGTGCCCCAGAAGACACACAGACAAGCTTTAATTTTAATGAGTCATACATTGGCTCACTTGAACAATCGGCGACAAAATGAGTTGAGACACTTCGCCCAAAAGTAGGCTTTTTTACGTTTTATGAACTTCAAAAGGAAGAAATATAGCTTTCCTCCCCCATCCCCTCCGTACAATGTTGGGCCCTTGTTCTAGCTACCTATAGAAAACAACAAACACCCCAACTTTGAATGGAGGGGACAGGGGAGGGGTGCGGATTCTTTTGTTCTCCGAGGTCACCCTATTTAAGTACAATGTTTCAACAATTTTGTCGCCGATTGAAGCTACCATAAACTCAGATTTTATAAATATCAGGCTTTAAGATGCTTAAGTTCTCCTCATGTTGAAATTGAATGAAAAGGAAAAGTTAGAGCTAATTTTCTCTCATTTTCAATTTTTTTAATCTTAGCCCAGATATGGGCTAGTCAAGGGAGCTAGGCCTTATTAGTTGTATCTTAAATAATTAACACATGTGCAGTAGAAAAAACCAAAAACAAAATTTATGAAAAGCAAAAATGAGTCCAAGCATGGAAGTATCAGAAGCAGAAAATTCACTTCAATGTCTCAGAGAGAAAAAGCAGTTTTAGATATGACTATGATCTTTACTATTTTAAGTATTTTCACTATTGTGTGCATATTTGCAATTTTCTAGTATGTAGAAGTGTGGGGAGTAAAGGGAAGGATTTTTCATGGTTAGGGTTACCTCAATAAAACACATCTGTAATATGAAACATACCACACTCCTGTTTTGGCTCATCTAATTCTTTATTTTAGAAGTATAAGGGGCATCTTGGAGTCAAGAGCCTCCATATTACAAAATTCTGCCTACACCCCTGAATAAGTTAAGACATCACATAGATTTAATAGATGTCATTTATGGAGTTTGGGTCTTCAGTTTTATATCATCTAGTCAAAAAAGGAAACTTACAATTTCATAGCCCTGGGTGGGATATCTTTGAAATTTTATCAGTCGCAGAATTAGGGCACTGCACCTGCTTTGGCCACTGGTGGTTAGGATGGGGTATCTCTGAAAAGTAATCACTGGCAGAATCACTGCACTAAGGTTGCACATCTCTGAAAAACAGGGCGTCCCTGAACCATAACTGAAGTGAAATCGTATTATTGCGAGGGGATTGTCGCAAGAACTGCAGTTATGACTATATAAACAGACTAGCATTTAGACTTTTTTTCACAGCGTTCTATTCAAATCGTAAGCGTCGGACGTTTTGTACTCGGTCACAACTTACATGAAGAGATTTTTTCCCAGTTATCCAGTGTTTAATAGAGGAGTTTTGCAGCTGTTACACAGAACCCCATCGACGTGTCCGCGCGCAAGCTTAAACACGAAACAATAATCCCTCATGGACCACAAACCGCTCAAAATTGTGAATGATCAGCGACTTATTAGCCTTGAGACCAATCTTGCATATTACAAAGAAGACTTTGCCTTAACTGCACTCCACAAAGATAGGACAGATGACTAAGACGATGGTAATTTTTAAAAGAGGCGCCATTTTTCTTTGCTGCATTCGCTGCGATCCAATACCACCACAAACTTCGGTCCAGCGGCTCGCGCATACTCGCAACGTTACCACTTGCTGTTCCTTAGTGATGGGTCTTTTGGCGGTCATTATCAGCATAAATTATGCCGTCACATGTCTGGAAAGTAGAAGTCATTGCAAAGGGCTCGTACTAGCCGTTTATAACCAAACTCAAGAGAGATTTATTTTTCGTTAATTGAAAAGGTTTATTGCTGCAGGCGCGCGATCGGATTCCCGTGTATTGTTCGGCTATTTCTCAAGTTTTCCGGCCGTCCCTGGCCACGTAGATTCTCGGTTCCAGTCTTCAAACAATATTCAGGTTTTCAAAATGGCCGCCATGAAACAATAGACCATTTTATAGGTTATAGCTGCGGGCTTAGTGTCATAGCCTTTGAGTGAACGTGAAGCTGAAGTTGACCTTGTTTTGAAACTTAACTGTAAAATGAACTCTTCGTATGTGTAACCAAACCTTAAAATTGGACAAAATGCAAACGAAAAATATTCCCTAATTTCATGAGTATATTATTTACTTATCAATATCATAGGTGACAAGTTACGCCCACAATAGTGGGATTTTGACATGTTGATGGAATCATCGTACAACTCCATGCGTTAACAAGTTTAGAGCTTTAAATTTGGCTTAACTCGGTGCAGAATTTCAGAATTTTTCGACAAAATACCTGATAGATGTGTTCTTGATGTGCTCCTTTGTGTGTTTAGGCTTTGTAGAGCGTCTTTTTATGCCCTGACATCTTCATGCATAACATTTTAAAACTTCGTCGCCATCTTGGCACTGAGACATACGAAAGGTTGCCATGGCAATTTTATAAATTTTGTTTGTGAAATTATAAATTTACGCTCAAATTTTACGCCAAAAGTAAGGAATAATTTGTCACTCATGATATGTATCAACACAACAAATATTCGCCTCAAAGAGTAACTTTGTTTCTATTTATGTATGTAATCCTGATTAAATGTGATGGTTGCCTGTGATATATCACAATGGAGAGATTTACTTATAGTCGCATTTACGGCAAACAGCAAATACGATTCTGTAGCACCTGAACAAGTTTTCCCTTTACCTGTCATGTACTCCTAATTATAACTACCGTATTTATTCGATTAAACGCCGCGGTGGCGATTGTTTGGAAATCACTTTTCTTAAATCACTGACAACAATTACCGCAAAACTTTTTATAAATATTAAAGTACTTTAAAGGTTCCAATGTTTCTCTTATGTGCGATCCGCGCGGGACAAATTTATAAACCTCTGCTTCGCGAGGAATAAGTCGATGAAACTGTGTACTTTCAAACAGCGATAGAGCTACACTCGAAGCACCCGGAAACCTCGGTAGTTCGAAAAAGTGGTGGTAACTAAGGGCTGGTCGCTTACGAGACGAGCTCTCCTAGACTACCGCATTGTAAAACAATAGAAGGTAGTCGCTTACAAGAGCTTCAGAAACTTATCAGTAATTCATGAAGAAAAAACAAAAGAATTTTTTAAATGTTTCATGAGTGTCTATATCTGATACAGAGACGGCTAAACTTTACTTCCAATTTTTAGACCAAAATAACCCCAAATCTAAATATACTTGGATTATTGAAAACCGGGTCAGCAAAAAAATCAACTCATTCTACCACTTGGCAATTTGAAATGATACAAATCCATTCAAATTTATTTATTTACATTTGCCACATAAAATGATTATTACAAAAAGAAAGTGAAAATATATATATATATATATATTTACTAAGATTCCACTTTTGTAATAGATAGAGTGGCGAGGAAGCCCAATAGAACCTAAATAGCTTGTGGAAAATTGGGCTCCTCATACTTGGTCAAGCGAGTTTAATCTATAGCTCTCTCGATGAGGTAATTTTTTAATGAAGTCTTGAAACTAGACTGACTTGTCAGTTCCGTAAAATTATGGGGAAGGGAGTTCCATAGTTTAGGTCCCAGATGAAGGATTCTGAAGTGTTTAATGTTTGTTTTACAGAAATCATGTCGGTAGTTATTAGCATTTCGAGTATTATATGTGTGTACTTGGCGATTAGTAACAAAGGTGGTGTTAAACGTATGAGGAAGGAGGTTATTATGATATGAGTACGTAAAACACGCAACCAAGAACGTATTAATGTTAAAAATGTCAAGGATTTTAAGAGTCCAAAAAAGAGGTGCAGTATGGGCAAGAAATTCAGTTCCACAAATGATTCTGACGATGCGTTTCTGTAGGTTAAGAATCCTATTCAAATTGGATGGATTCGTTGAGCACCATGCAATGTTACGGTAGTTAAGATACGGGTAAACCAATGTTTTGGATAAGGATAACAAAGATTTAGAAGAAAGAAAGAAACGAGCTTTACTTATGATTCGTATAGTCTTTGATACTTTTTTAGTAACATGATGATATTTCCAAGGAAGATGCTGATCTAATAAAACACCAAGAACCTTTGTCACTTCAACCTGTTGCACAGCAATATTATCTAGCGTAACTGTATCACTAACAGTAATGGGTTTTTGCCTGGGTCGAAAAAGAATATAGTTTGTTTTGGCGACATTGAGTGATAATTTGTTTACTTTGAGCCATTCAGATATTTTTGATAATTCACAATTCATGACACGAATGAGCTGGTTAGGATCTTTATGAGAATAAAAAAGGCTAGTATCATCCGCAAATAAAAAAGTCTTTAACAGATGAAATGCATTAGAGAGGTCATTAATATAAATAATAAACAAAAGAGGTCTGACACCGAGCAGTATATACTAAGTTAGTGGTCCCTAGAAGCATTTCAACGAGTCGAAAGTTAAAATGACGCAAATTTTAGAACATTTATTCAGTAATCTGACTCCTTGAAGTTTCAAACCGGTGTCATTTCAGTCTAGAAAATTTTAAAGTTGATTGTAAGGCAGTTGATTGTAGTTAATGCTTACGTAACAACTTAAACAGTTAGCAGATCACTACTTTTTTCGCGGTCCGATAAATGACAGGATTTCGCATGGGATAGACAATTGATTGAAACATAATGCACAATATCATCACTTTCTTATCTGCAAAACCCGGCCTATGGTTCAAAGCCAAGAGCCCGCTGAAGCTACTGGCCTAGATTCAATTTTTGTGAGTCGAGAATTGGTTTTCCAAGGCACAATCAGCAAAGCTAAACAACGACGAAACTTTTTTTATGGCTGGTACGGAATGTTTTGGTGCAACAGCTCAACCACGCAACAACATACCTGAGCTGTGCCTGTCAACACCATCCGGAAATCACACAATCACACACTTTCGCGGCACTGATAAGACTATCCGCAACCACGCATAAACTTCTCACGTTTAACACAAGCGAAATATCATCAGCCTTTATAATTATATAATTTACAGAAAAAAGCAGTTCGAATCATGACTTTTTCCTCATTTGAGGATCTTTCAACTCCACTATTTAGATTGTTAGCAATTAATGAAGCTCTCTGATCTTGGTACATTTCATATTGCACTTTTTATGCATAAATTTCGTAACGTAAGAAGGAACACGAATTCGCGAAATCCCCTCTACAGCCACGTCTACAGAAATCCCTAACCACAAAACAACCAAAAAACGACATAAGCAAACAACACAGTAGCAAACTAAGACAGGGGAAGTTAAGAGAAATCACAAAATGTTTGCTAACCCGGTTTTGATAAATCCAGGTAGAAATATTAGTGCAAAAATGAATTGATCTAGATCAAAAGATTTTGAATCCGTTCAATAAACTCACAGTTCTTGTTGTATCAGGAGTGGATTGAAATGAATAAGATTCTGAGTGGCCGCTTAAGAGAGTAGTAAGTAAAAACAAAGGAACAGTCCAGTTGGGTAATCCTTAACCTTAAAGTGGTCGCGGTCGCTTACGAGAGCTTTTCATGACAATGTTTTAGGGCCTGTTTACATGGAGGTGGGAGACCCCAGGTAGGTGAGGTAACCCGCTTAGGTGGGGTAACCCGCCTGTCCATATATTCTCTCATTTTACTTTGATCACGTTTACATGATAGGTGGGGTGACCCGCCAAGGCGGGTAGCCCGGTCTACCAGACCGGGTTACCCTCTCAGCCGGGTTCAATTTTGCCATGTAAACGTTTCAAGGTGGGGTAACTCGCCTGGCCGGGGTCGGACTCGTGATACATCAAATTCGCGCAAAATTCACTTTGGCGGTGGTTTTACATCATTATTAAAGTTAACAGTAGAAAGCCATCTCACTGAAGGTTGCAGCAAGAGCAACAAGGGAGTGTAAAAGTGCATTAATCGCCGAAACACGTGGTTTGCCATCATTTTTCTTGTTTACGTGCTTAGCGACCATTCAATAATCTTGAGAAAGTGCACCCCGGGATGGCGGGGTTGTAAGATTGCATGTAAAGGAGGGTTATTTTTTTACCTCACCTAAGCAGGCTACCTCACCTACCTGGGGTCCCCCACCTCCATGTAAACAGGCCCTAAATCAAAGTTCAAACGAGGTTTCACAAAGGTGGTCGTAACTAGAGCTGGTCGCTTACGAGAGTGGTCGCAAGAAGAGCTTAATTTAACCTGAGATTAGGCCCAGTTTTAGCAGTTCTCATACATTATCTCTTATGTTGTCGTAGAAAGCGAAACAAAAACAGAGCCTAGGGTCAATTTAATAGAACTTTTACACGTGTAATTTACAAATGTAACTATTGTTCTCAGACTCTAAAACAATGGCTACACTCATGGTAAATTACACGTGTAAAAATTTTATTAAATTGACCCCTGATCTCAGCTTTTAATAGGAGAGCTTCGGCTGTAGTTGAGACACCTGGCCAAAACAAGGGCATGATTTCCATTATTCCACTTTCACTCCGATTTAAATTGGGATCTCTTCCCCCGCCCGTCCCGTCTGGAACGTCTAAGGTAACGGAAAAAAGCCACTGAATAGCGAGGTGTCTCTTCCACTTTTATCGCTTACTCTTGTGTTGCAAGAAGTTTAATTCTGACTTACGGGGACGAAAAACTGCCCTTGTTGACACATTTTCGCAGAGTGCCTGTGTATGGGTTGCCTTCTCGACAACATTTACCGTTGTTGGCCTCGCAACCTGATCCTCCAAGCGCAACACAGCTCCCGCGGCGAAAATTATAGTTCTGACAAGGAAAAAACAGCAGTTAATCAGTCCTTCTGCTACTAAAATTATTTATTGTTAGTAAAAAAATTAAGGGCACTCACAGTGGTAGCCTGCGAGCAAGCTCTTCTATTTGGGCGAGCGAAGCGAGCCGCGCGAGAACGCACGAGTGAGGGGCCGTCCCCCCGCTTTCGCGTGCCTCTCGCGCGTCTACTTTTTACTACATACCCAAATGGAGAGCTTGCTCGCAGGCTATCACAGTGGCGGAAATTGCCATAATTGTTAATGTTCAGATTCGCGCTAATGGTTATTTTGAACGTTCTTGAAAACCAAGGATATTCGATTGCGCTGAAAATTATGCCACGGTAATGACTTGACTAATCAAATGGAGACTGTCCGTAGGGCAATGATCATTCACGTTTCCTGGGGCCAAGCTCTTGAGTAGACATCCAAAATCAGTACAAGATGCTAACTTCATGGTTTTAAAGGAAAGTAAGGGGAAAATCAATGTGAAAATTAAGTTAATACAGCTGTGTGTACGTTCATGTGTGTTATATATCCTCGGCTGTAAATGTTTATATTTCGTAGTAGTTTTGTTGGATATTTTGTTCAATTTATCCCGTATTTTGTAGATATTTTTACTGAATTACTGTGTTTATATTTATGGTTTGAACTTTCAGTCATATTATTGCCCGTGTAGCTTGCGGAATTAGTAGGTGGAGTGTCGATGTTTTTTTGGCGGCCGAGCCGCGAGAAGACCACAGCTCCACCGCCAATAAAGTACCCGGGATATAACAATCCCGTCAGCTACGCAGACTAGTCATATATTGTGGCTGAAAAGCCATTATAGAACCTTTTCACTTTTTGTGGTCAGCATCTATGCAAAAGAAAGAGAAGTTCAACTTCCACAGTATATGTTGGAAGACCATTATGGCTACCGTTTCATTGTCTTAGGACTGTGGACGCCAATATGGCCGCTGTGACATCATATGGCCTATGGACACCACCCTGGAGAGACCTACAATACTCGTCACAAATCGTTGAAACAGACACCACTTGACCTGAATTTTGTCGAAAATTTCTTACATCCACTCTTCGCGCTTCTGTTCTCACTCAAATGTGCCCCGCTCCTTCCCCAATATTGACGCCACACGTATTTTGAAGCACTGAGACGACTGTAATACCCAAATCAACACTGGGAAAGGGGAAACACACAAGATTGTTTCAGGATTTTTGACGAGTATTGAAGTCTTTCTCGCAGCCCTCTTTTGTCTCGTCACGTAACACTCCGTCCCGTGAGGAGACAAAAACCAGTAGTCCAGTACCTCACATGAACCCTCTACTTTCAGTGGTCAACTACCGTAAACAATATTGCCTTTTGTTTTCAGGGATTTCAGGGTTTTCACCGTTTCTTTTTTTTTACAGCCAATTGTGTGAGCCGTTCAGCGAGGGACAGTAAGGAAGACCGGGCTGAAACAGATATCTAGCAACAAGTGGTGGCTTTTTTACAACTATGAGAAACTATGTGATACCAACCTTTAAAAAGAAGCGTTTAAAAGGTACCCTTCCATGTGGTTCAGCGTCCTGGTAATGATGCCGATGAAAGGTTCGTGCCTTTGTAATTGTTAGCAGAAAACAGGCGATCAAGATAGAAGCCAAAGTCAACTTCAACATCATGAAAGGCGGCTGATAGTTCTGCAACACAATGGTTAATAATATAAGAAACAAAGGTACCAAACAATAGAGTTGTCCTGGGGACTTTATTAGTGAACTTACGCAACAGGACGGGAGAGGAAAGAAGACGGCAAACCTTGTATGACAAGCGTGACAATAATTTTGTTTGAAATAACTTTTCGCCAAAATTCACCTTCCTTTAAACAGATCTTTTTGTAAAAGACTGAAAACATTGATGTTAAGTGAAGATCACGACAAAACACGTAAGAAATAGCCTTGTCACGTTTGTCACACACGAGCGTTCTGCCGTCCCGTTGCGTAAACTCACTATTGTGTGGTTGTGTTGTTTCTTTTGTAGTACGTAATCTGTGCCTCGTTACCTACAGAAGAAGTCGAAATTTTTTGGTACAGCGCGCATTCACACACGTGGCCAGTATTTACGCAAATTTATTGAAACAGTAGAAAGCGTTTATATGAGAAGAGAGTTAATCTCCCATAGGATTGGTTTGGAACGCCATTATGGCCGCCGTGAAGTCATGTGTAACCGCTCTTTCGTGGCTTGATTTAAAGAAAACACTCTGCTTGTTAAATATTTGGCTATCTGTATGAAACTATAGCTGCATAGCATCAGCTTACAGCAACTCACTAAATAAAGCATCGGAAGAGACAACCCCTGAAGTTACGTTAACTTTCACCCCCGCGAGGGGGTTGAAAGGTGACGGGGATGCTTGTTGGAAAATTGGAAATTAACCCCTAATACTAAAATAGGGATCTAAATAAGAGCTAGGGATCTAACTAAGTGCCAGCGATGTGGTGTTCTTTTTTAAACGTTAGGTTTTTAGGCACTTCTTGAAAATTTCTGTTTGCAAGACCAGGGTGTCGAGTAATTTTTGTTTTCCTATTTTTTGAGCATATTCCTATTTTCTCCTATTTTTAAACTAAGACCTATTTTTCCTATTTTTTAACTGGTGAAGCCGAAATTTGTAACAAAATTGAAAACGGAATTGTAGTTGTATGTGTTTTAGAGTGAGATTTATCATAAAGCAAGTAGTATGTTGACTTTGATGTTGTAATAATAGCAAAAATAATAACTACATTTGTTTTTTTCCACGACCTCTATTGCTTATTAAAGTTCTGTTAACAACTTTGTAATATTCTTACTTCTGTTACTTTTTGTATAATCTTCTAGTGCACCTGCATGTATTGTATGTAGTGTCATCGTTTTCATGACTATTGAATGACTTTGTGCAAAGCTCACTGAAACTACATTTCAGTATCTTTACAAGTCATAGTTTGAAGTTTTGCTCGCTTTTATGTTCATCTTTGAAACTGAAAACAGGGTCAATTTTTCCTCTCACAACACAGGTCAGATAATCATCTAATCAGCTTCTTGTTTAAAGAAGCAATTACTTGCTGGATTCTGTAAAAAGACTCAAGTTTAGTTTACGACACTAGCTCTCTTGGTGAGCTCTTGTTAACAGCTATATACCTAGGCAACTGACGAAGGATCCAATATTTTGGTTCCGAAACCGGTCTTGTAGTCATAGCTAAGCAGAGTGTTACGTTGTTCTGTCACACTTTGTAATACCTATCGCTCTTTGAAATAAAATTGTCGCACATTGTAATAACACTTGTCGTACTTTGTAATAAAAAAGCCGTCGCACTTTGCAATAACAGACCATTGCACTTCGTAATAAAATGAACTATCGCACTCTGTAATAACACTTGAGGCACTTTGTAATCAACTTGAAATGGATGGTCGGAGGACAAGTAAACCCAGTATAAAAGGCATCATTATCGGCAACAACAATAACGACAATAAAAGGAATAATTGCGGTATTACAAAGTGCGACGATTAGGGAGTTGTCAGAAATTAGCAGGGGGGGAGGGGGGGTGGGAACTTTAAATTTGGGTGCAGAAATGAGGTGACCCATCCCTGCAATGGGAGTGAAATTTGCTAACCCTCCCCTTGACCTTGGCCTAAAATATCATGACCCTCCCCCTCTTGTATAAATGATAAAATCTAGGGCTTGCAATACACTAGGGTGAGTCAGTATTATAAAAGCTCAAAATATATTTCTAGTCTGTTCTTTGTAATGCCATATACATACATTTTAGATGACAGCATTAACAGTCCGACTCTGATTCTGACAGCTGAATAAAGAACTTCTTTTTTATTCTGAACCTCTACATGATCACGGACACATATTTGCATGACCTCCCCCTTCATAACGGCGCATTTTTCATAACCCCTCCCTTTTCTGCAGTCTCAAAAAGTTGTGACTCTCCCTCTGTTTCCACCCGCCCCTCCTCCCTCCCTGCTAATTTCTGACAAGTCCCTTCCATGCATGACACACAATACCAACTTTGCGTACACCGAAGAAAGCCTGGTTCGTATTTAAAACTATGCGGTCTTTTGACTCAAACAAGCATATTTTCAACCAGCTACCGATAGCAGCTTAATGAAACGAAAGCTCTCAATAGGACTTTTTAGTCCTAGTTCAATATCCTTCAATGACAACGCAATCGTAAGAATTTTCTATTCTGAGAAATTTCACTCTTGGAAGCTTTTCAAAGATTTGCCACCAACTTGAAGGGAATTTGCATATGATCACTTTGATTATAGAAGCGCGCTCGACCCGTAGTCAAGCATATCATTCTGATCATCATCACAGCATAACTGAGCCAATAAACTAAACGTTACTGATCATTTTCACCTCTTTTAAGCCGCGAAAGTTAATCTAAACCTGCGAACGTAGAAGCTGAGGACTCGTAGCCTTTATTATAACCCTGATGTGGTGCAGGGAGGCTATCTTTGTCGACGAAAGTACTATCGATTTTCCTATTTTTCTACTTTTAAAACAAAGTTTCCTATTTTCTTAATCCTGAGTTTCCTATTTTTTTCGAGCAACCATGGCGCTGGACACCCTGACAGACTGACGTTTTGGGGGTTAGCCCCCCACTAGAGAAGCAACAGATAGCTTATACAGATAACCTCGGCTGTTCTAAATTCCTCACAGCATTCAACTTACCGTTATCGACTTCTCGCTGTTAATTAACTCAGTGTTTCACTTGCCGCCCCGCCGACGCAGCATGAAAGCTTCTTTTGAAACTAATTTACTTTCTTCTTGCTAAGTGAGTTCTACTCTATTCTACCCTAACATTCGTTTGGCTTGACAAAGCATGACGAACATAGTCAATATGCCTCCTTCGATAAACAAGATTTTCCCTCGGGGTACAATAACATGCGATTGAAAGTGGAAAGGTTGTGTTTGTGAAGCTTCATGAACTTTGAGCTCCAATCATTGCGTGGGATTTTCCGATCGAACGACAATGTTTGTTCCTCACAGCATTCAACTTACCGTTATCGACTTCTCCCTGTTGATGAACTCAGTGAACTTCTCGCTGTTTAATTAACTCAGTGTTTCACTTGCCGCCCCGCCAACGCAGCACGAAAGCTTCTTTTGAAACTAATGAGCTTTCTTCTTGCTAAGTGAGTCATATTCTAATCAACCCTAACATTCGGTTGGCTTGACAAAGCATGACGAACAGAATCAATACGCCTCCTTCGATAAACAAGATTTTCCCCGAGTGTACAATAATAATAATGTTGATTAACTTTTGAAGCCAAGTGACTTTAGTGGGAGAAATTATGGAACATCGAGAGATTTGTGTGCGTTGAAAGTGAAAAGGAAGAAACAGCTGCGTTGTGCTATCCTCTGTCGTTTCTGTGACGTTCTATGAACTTTGAACTCCAATGATTACCTGGGTTTATCCGATCGAACGACAACGTTTACGAGTTAAGTAAACCTACTGGTTTTCTACTCAGTGGTTCAGGTTTACGTTGGAAATGGAACCACCCTTCAAAGCAGAAAGGGTTTTTTTCACCTTACCATTAAAAAAACAATTCGGCAAGTTGCAGCAACAAGGGGCCAAATATGAGTTGAGATCGGGGGGGTACTCCACCAATATTTGGGTATAGGTGAGCGCCACTGAGGGTTTGAAACCCTGACCCTGTTTAGGATAAAAAAAAGTCCTAAAATACATCCCCTGTTTAGCAAAACAAACTGAAGTTTATTACCCTGTTTAGGACAAAAACCAAAATGCATCCTGTCTTGTTTTAATGCCACTTATTGGCAATTGCTGTAGAGCAAGTTCGCATCATAGTGATTGCTTTTGTATACAGTGAACTTCGATGTAACGAACCCCGTATAACGAAGTCCTTGGTATAACAAACGATTTTTTTTTACCCCAATGGTAGTCTGGTAGTAAAATATATGAAAAAAAAAACATCTATATAACGAAAACTTGTTATAGCGAACAATTTTAGCCAGTCCTCGGTCCTTGACCCTTGGTTATATCGAGGTTGCACTGTACTTGGAGTACATACAAATTTATCTAGGCAGTATCATTTTGACTGACTTACACGAAATTATATGCCCTGTTTCGGACATACTCACACAAAATTATATACCCTGTTTAGGACAGAGAGATAAAAATCCATACGCTGCTGTCCATTGGCACACCCGGTATAGGCCGTATAAGGGAGCACCCCCCCTCCCCGGAGTTGAAACTCTAGTATCATAAATAGTAAATATAAACCTAGTAAATAGTATAGAACTATTTTGGAAATAAATTTAGGTTTTTTTTGTTATCGACATGCATTTAATAAAAATAAACATGATAACCTTAGCAAGAAACGACGCAAAACTGACGTTTTGGACGTTAGCTCCTCACTAGAGCAGCAACAGACAGCCAATACAGGAAACCTCAGCTGTTCTTAATTCCTTAACGCATTTAACTTACCGTTATCAACTTCTCGCTGTTTAAAATTAACTCATTGCTTTACTTGCCGCCCCGCCGACGCAGCATGAAAGCTTCTTTTGAAACTAATTTACTTTCTTCTTGCCAAGCGAGTTCTACTATATTCTACCCTAACATTCGTTTGGCTTGACAAAGCATGACGAACAGAGTCAATATGGCTCCTTCGATAAACAAGATTT